CCCCCACTCTTCTCTAAGTGTCACCAAAGCAGGGTCCTTGCCAGGTTTGTTCACCATCAGATCACGAGTGCCTAGCACACTGCTTTGCAGAAAGGAGTTTCTCCATGAGCGTTTGTGACTGGATCAATGAATGAACGTATAACTTTCCTTCTTACTAATACATTTATATGACACATACACATGTGTTTTTAATTTGGAATAGTTTTGTAAGGTTACATATGAGCCTGGGTGACTATTTTTAAACATATTTTAAGTAGCAGGTGAGTCATTAACTTTGATGTTATGAAACTCAGTTGAAACTCATTACTCTAAACCAGCGGTTCTCTACCTGTGGGTCACGAACAATGAAAATACATCCTGTATATCAGATATTTACATTACGATTCATAACAGTAGCGAAATTACAGTTACGAAGTAGCAACGAAAATAACTTTATGGTTGGGGGTCACCACAACATGATGAACTGTATTAAAGGGTCGGGGCATTAGGAAGGTTGAGAACCACTGCCCAAGTACTTCGTTTCCTTAATCAAACATACCATCCATGGTAGCAATTAAATCAGGGTCCGATATGGAATTTGTCAGAGATTTTTGTCTATGTAAAAATAACTTCAGACTCCTGGCTACAACATGAACCAATATTTACCGGTGAGAGCATTCAGAGCAACACGACCCCTTTTGAATTCAAAAAATCAACGAAAAGGCCAATTACTGCTAGATGGACAGGCAGAAAAGGATAATCTTGCCTGTACTTCTCTTGTCCCCCGAGACGTATGCTCCTGTTCCATTTTCTGAACAATCTAGTAAAATTCAATTTACTTTTTCAATTTGTCTCCAGCCAGGCTTCCTTCTGTCAGGTATGCAGACATTTCAGCGCTGGCCACGTAGAGTAACAGGACCGAGAGAACGAAATTACCTGTGCATTTGCGATCTGTGTCTTCTTTCTTTGACCCGCTAATCGTCAGCTTGCAGTTGAAGTTTTCCTCCCAGTATTCAGCAAACCAGACGTTCCTTCTGTTGTTTTCAAGTGTGCGGGATGTAAAGTAGGCATCGAACCCTAAAGAGAGTTGAATGAAAAGGTCATTGCTTGCGGGGCTCTGCCGGAACATTTGAAAACAAAAACACCCGTTGTGGTTTTTCTTTGTTTTAGTAGATTGAATGCTCTTTTGTGTCAATCAAAGAAAAGAAATCAGCGGAAGAAAAAAAAAATATTCTAATGCTAACCTATATCTATATCTCTAGTCTTTCAGGCAGATGTGTGGCCTATAAATGACATTTTCACAATAAAATCTGCATTAGAGACCTTAGGGATGCTATAGTCCTCACAACATGCCTTGCATCTCTGATGAACAAGACCGGGGACAAAGCATCTCTATAAACATCATCATCACCATCACACCAAGAGAATAACTGATAATTTTAGAGCTTACTGTGGATCAAACTCTGGAATTTACATGGATTCTTTTACTCATCTCAACAATCCATGCAGTAGTTACTATCATTCCCATTTTGTTGATGGACAACAGAGGTTTGATGAAAAAATGATGTGCCCACGGTAAACAATTTCACCATATTCTGCATCTCTCACTATGTGAGCTACTGACCTGTGAATATCATTTTGAGAGTCCTCTTTTGTTTAGGAATATCCCAGTATGCAATTGACTTTCTAGTCAAAGTAGAATTAAATTTATGAAGAAGCCACTGGTAAACTGAGGTCAATGTTAGCTCAATGCTATTCACAAAGAGTTGGAGATGAGCAGAGACCGGAAAGGCCAGGTCCCCAGGAAATCTCTTGCTACCTCACTAGGATAGCACCACTTTAAATATTCCAATGAAACCATACGGTCCTGTGAGGATCAGACTGGATTCAGTATCACAAGGGCTGGGCTTGAATTCCAGCTCCACTCATCTCACTTAAGTCGTGTAAACATGAGCAAGTACACACTTAACCTTTCAATCTTCCATTCATCAATCTGTAAGCATAAAGATGGTACCACCCCTTCCTCAGTTTCTTGTTTGTAATAGTGGGAAGACTAGGAACTTACAGAGTTAAGGTCAAGACCACGGAGGAAGATGAACTTACTTTCACATTATTTAAGTTAGTCAAAGTTTTCCCTAAATTTTAGAGTCATTAAAAAAAAATAGCTCCAGACTCTAAACTGTGAGAGGAGAATGTCAGGTTAATTTAATTCACCCCTACATTACAGGCACGGAATTCATGGCCTGGCATATAGTATGCCTGCTATAAATAGAAAACTTCAAGTAAGTAAACAAGACAGTAAAAAAAAATCCCTATAAAATAAAGGATATTGTAGAGCATTGTAGGGAAAATGAAAAAGAATATTTTATATCTCAGGTAATTTTCCAGGCTATTGTCAGGACATGGTAGAACATAATGATGTCTTGACCAGGTACCCAGACAAATGTCCTTTCATAGCCACCACGTGAACTGATTTAAGATAATCTGGCTGTGGCATCTGATCTCATTTTGATGTCGATACTGATTGACTAATGTCGATACTGATTGATTCATTTATCTGGCTGGAAGCCCTCCCCCCACTCACTATTCTCCCATAACCCTGCCTCCAGACAATGTTCAGTAGGATAACATAAAACTCTTAAATAAAAGGGAATCTGTGTTTCCAGGATCACTACATGTATGCACTTGGCTCTGTACAAACATATAAGCAACTTACTGGTACACATGACGACTAGTGACTAACTTACATTTCCCCCTTCATCTTTGCCTGTGCATGGGTGGAAACTTGGGGTTTGGTGGGAGCAAGGCTGGTGGGTTGTGACAAGTGGCCCCAATGGTCCATGCTTCCTGAGCTTTCCACCTGCGTGTAGCCCTCCTTCTGCACTGTGTTCTTATCCTTGGGGCACTGGACAGGGGAAAGCAAGCAGAGGCTGCCAACCCTGTGCCCCTGTGGCTTGTCCCTGCAGAATTCTACCTGGGACCCAGCTGCCTGGATCTGAGAGGTTTGACTAGGACCGTGGTCGGCAAACTGCGGCTCGTGAGCCACATGCGGCTCTTTGGCCCCTTGTGTGGCTCTTCCTAAGCCTTAGGAGTACCCTAATTAAGTTAATAACAATGTACCTACCTATATAGTTTAAGTTTAAAAAAATTTGGCTCTCAAAAGAAATTTCAATCGTTGTACTGTTGATATTTGGCTCTGTTGACTAATGAGTTTGCCGACCACTGGACTAGGAGATGTGAGGTCATGTGGAAAGAGAGGAGTCCAGCCAGACCCCAGCCCTCTCAGCAAAGCCTGTCTGCCCGTTCCAGCCCGCTGCTGACTGTGGTAGAAGCAGCATTTAGCTGAGACCAGCCCCAGCTGCAGAACTGGGGCGATTTCTCTTTTAGGCCACGGCATTCGAGGCGGTTTGTTCCGCAGCCACGGGCAGCTGAAGCACTCCATCATCTCAGCACCCCAGCCCCTCTCCAGGCAGCACCAACAACACACTCTAAACGTCCTCAACAGAACGCAAAGGGGCGTCAGAAACAAACTTTTCGGTCACACGTCACAGGTCTGGACCCCAAACTAAACTCAGAATAGGAACTCTTAAAAGTGGCTCAAAGGACAGCCTGGATACAATTACATTCTCCAGCTCAGAAGAAAACGTCTTTGGAAGGAACCTCATCATTTTAAAAGTCTATCACTTCAAAATGCCTCTCTCTGCCGCCTGTGCCTGCTGGACACACAGAGGGATATTGAGGAAGGAAGGACCAGTTTGCGGCTAACATGCAGGTCGGTGACTGTGGAACATTTAACAGAGAAAAGGAAGGGAAAGCAGCAATTAGGTCCACTTTCCCCGGTTCTAAGGGAGAACCAACAGATTTCTGGAAAGAAAGGCACCACGGAGGCTGGCTGCATGGACCGTGGCCGGACGTGGATGAAGGGCAGGATTTCTTAGCCCAAACCCTTGTCCGTTTCACTCACATGTCCGACGGGCTCAGCTTCCTCCTCCTCTTCCTTCTGCTGGCCACCCTCGTGTAGACAGAGTACTGCTTTTCTCTTGCAAGTGCATTATATATGAACTGCCTGGGGCTCCCCTAAGATGCAGATTTTAATTCAGAAGACCTGGGGTGGACCGAAGAGGCTGCCGCTGTAACAAGCCCCAGGTGACACTCTTGCTGCCCATACTTTAGAAAGCAAGGCTCTCGGGGGGAAAGCCTACATTTTTAACAAGCTCCAGGTGATGCTCACGCTGCCCATCCTCGGAGAAGCAGGGCTCCAGAGCGAATCCTGAGCTTCAGCAAGTGGGAAATGAACAATCCCAGCCCTTCTGGTTAAGATATAAGCATCCCCACCCTCTCAGCCTCCAGTTTCGCCTTGGTTCAGAAGAGAGGGTCTTTGCTCTGCTTGTGTAGTTGAGACTTTTGCCTGGTACTCTGCTCAGTATGGCAGGAGCCCTACCTGGCCATCCTGTTGCCTGTAGAGGGCCCTGGAGGGGTAGAGCATGTGGTTGCCTGTTGATGGATTTTCACTCTATGTTTCCCTGAGCATTGCTGCTTTGGGTCTGGAACTGAACACACAGTATCCCCGAGGTATGCCTGTGCCTGGTAGGTATGGGGATGGGTGAGTCAATCCAAATGGTAAAACTGGCTACATGGGCTGACAGTGCTGCAGCAGAAGCTGGTTTCAGAACACAGAGCTCTTAGATCAGTCAAAGGAGCAGAAGCAGAGGTCAATTGGATGTGATTCAATTGAGTGAGTCCTTGCCGATTTGCCTCAGCTGAGTCACATTTCTTTCAGGGCCAAACAATGTGTTTACTTCTTTTAGCAGGGGCTCTGGTGAAAGATAAATTAATTCTATTGGTTCCTTCTACTCTTTTTCAATCAAAAGGAATACAATTGTCCGTGGGATAGCTAAGCTTTCAAAAGAGACTTTGCTGTGGCCAAACATTCACAATGCCTTGGAATGCAGCTGGCAGCCCTTTGGGTTCAAGCACTCTCCATCCCCCTGCTTTATTAGTAACGAGAGGCCCAATGCACGAAATTCATGCAAGAGTAGGCCTTCCTTCCCCCAGCTGCTGGCGCCTGCTTCTCTGGCACCCGGGACCTGGGCTTCCCTCCAGCCCTGGCTTTGTCCAGAAGGACTTCTGGAATGACACCCGGAATGATGTCTGGTCTAATTAGCATATTACGCTTTTATTATTATAGATACTGAGCTCTGTTATGCACTGGCCCAAAGCTTTCCCTCGGGCTTCAGCCACTAACCATTACTTTTGATTTTTCATTGCAGTTTCTGTAGCCTAATGATTTTGCCTATCTTTTCTTAGGAATAGGCAATTAATACAAGGTACACAGTCACCAAGATGCCAAACAGAGAGAAGCAAAAATTAGAATAACTCTAATCTAGTGTGTGTATGCAGTGAATTGAGACTTTTTCTCATTCCTACTAGAGCTCAGAAGAAAAGTGATCTGGATACACAATAAAGGTGTTATTAAATTATTAGAATTTTTCAAGGTAACCTGAGGCATCAAGAAACAGAATCAGATTTATATCAAAGGAGAAAGATCCGTCTTTTACATGGTGTAAACAAAATTATTATAATAAAGTTGTTCCTTTTATGGGGGGTGGGGGAAGATTATTTAACTTCAGAATTCAATCTCCAGATGGTTTGAAGCAAATGTCCCTTTGGGTGCACATTATACAACATCCCTATAATTTTGGAAGTGAGCTTAGAACAACATGGAAATAACAATCAGGGTTTTAGCTGACAAATATATAACGATATTTATCTGGCTCTTTCCCCTTTTAACTGGAGTGCCACCCTAAACACCCCCTGGAATTTGTGGTTGAGACAAGAGCAGACAACTTAACACACACATAGTTCATCCTGGGCAGTGTGTTTGGGAGTGAGCTTTCCAGCTGAGAAAGAACAAGGCTCTCACAAGTGTGTGGTGTAAAAGGAAATCTATCAGATGTTGAGAGGGGTCAGCTGCCTGGATGGCCAGGGTGAAGGGAGACTGGCAGATATGAATGTGGCTTCACGCGGCATCAGAAAGTGACCAGTGGCCCTGATTTCAGGCTAATGCACACAAGTCCTGCTCTGCAGGTTAGAGCATCCCTGTCAGCCAAAGGGCATGGAGGACCCACGGCTTGCTCTCAGGAGCCTGTAAAGGGGAGGCTCTTAGCTCTTCCTGGTCCTGCTTCTGGCTCAGGAAGGAGGCGCTCAGGTTGCAGAACCACACAGCCCCTAGCCTAGCACATCACAGGAATGCAACACAGATGGAATAGAGTAAAAAATCAATGAGTAAGGAGAGGAGAAAAGACATATAGGAGGGAGGAAAGGGGGGAAGGTAGAGAGAGGGAGAGAGTGGAGGAGAGAGAGACTGTGAGAATGGAGAAAGAGTGAAGGAGAAAGGTGTAGGAGGAGGGAGAAGAGGAGGGAAGAGAAAGGAAGAGGAGGAGGCACAAGAAACAGGGAAGGGAAGGGGAGAGAAGGGAAGGCAGGGACATTAATGAGGTGAGGAAGCAGGGGGACTCACATTCCCTGCTCCTGTGATGATGTATCAGAACAGCCATTTTTAAAAACAGGTCTGTATTGGTTTTATGACCTTTCTATTTCTATGACATAAGTCATTTTGAACTGTGGCCAGCAAAAAGATATGTCCATGTCCTAGCCCAGCCATGGGCAAACTACGGCCCGCGGGCCCGATCTGGCCCGTTTGAAATGAAAAAAACTAAAAAAAAAAAAAAGACCGTACCCTTTTATGTAATGATGTTTACTTTGAATTTATATTAGTTCACACAAACACTTCATCCATGCTTTTGTTCCGGCCCTCCGGTCCAGTTTAAGAACCCATTGTGGCCCTCGAGTCAAAAAGTTTGCCCACCCCTGTCCTAGCTCTTTGAGTTTGTGTGACCTTATTTGGAAAACATTTGGATACTCTATGACAATAAATTACATTAATTAAGATCAGGATCTCGAAATAAGTTCATCCTGGATTATCTGTGAGGGCCCTAAATCCAGTGACAAGTATCTTTATAAGAGACACACAGATGCACAGAGACACAGGGGGAAGGAGCCATGGAGAAGGTCACATGAGTATGGAGGCAGAGAATGGAATGATGCAGCCGAAAGCCAAGGAAACCTGGAGCCACCATCAAAGGCAAGGAAGGACCCTCCCCTAGAGCCTTCAGAAGAAGCACGACCCTGCTGACATCTTGATCTGGGACTTCCAGTCTTTAGAACTGTAAAATCATTCCTATTTTAAACCACCAAATTTGTGGTCATTTGTTATGGTCACCCCAGGAAACTAATACACCCATAATAAGGAAAACAAACCAATCATGTGATAGTATCACATGCTACAGCTTCTGTCTGGTCTGAATGACAACATGTGTTTCTCAGATGTTAACAAATGACAGTTTGGGGGACATGTTTAAACTATGGACTTGTCCTTTCTATTCTATCAAATATTATTTTAAACTAATTTAAAAACCAGGAGACTTCACTTGCAAGTCCAGATTTTTGGCTTTATATACGTGTAACATTGGAAGATCTAGTAACATGGACCCTATGCCCATGTGGCAGGCATCAGCAGGTGCTGAAGAATGGTCTTTCCTTTATGTGAGCCTCTGCTCCTCCAGCCACAACTTTCCCCACCACCTCTGAGAGTTTCAACATTTGTAAGATGTGTGTGCTTGTCATGATAGACAGTGAGCTTTCCCACCATCAAGAAATGCACCTC